CCGAAAGAGGTTCAAGATGAGTCTTTTGAGAGTATTTTTGGGACAGCTTGAGACTGAGAGATCGGACGAGAAACTTAAGAGAAAAAGGGAAAGTTAAGCAAAGTGCAAAAATGAGACATTTGTTGGCGGGGTTTTTGGAAACGAGAAAGGCGATGAAAGCATTTTGTAAAAGCAGATCGGATCGATCAAAATCGATTTTTAAACATGAAATTAACGATTTGAACTGAATTTACAGCTGATCAGCTATCGGTATTTTTAAAGTAGCTGATCGTTTCTTTGCTACACATTTATATCCAGTCAGGTTTCAATCTCTAAACTAACTTCAATAAGCTGAAAGACTTCAATAGACTTGAATCTCCTTACTAGGAAACTGTTTCAACTTCCCACCGATTTTTGTGGTTTTTCGTCTTATTCGGAAGTTCTTCAAAGAAAAGCAAAAAGTTCGACGGCAAGCAGAATTGAACCCGTGAGCAAAGAAGGTCTGGAGTCATAGTCATAGGAGGCATAGCTTCGGAGTCGAGGACACTATCCTCTAGGCCGCCGCTGCTTTTAGTGCTTGCTTTTACTGCTTTCGGCGTGGCTCCCTCTTATAGGTTAGGTCGTCAAAGTCATCAAAAATTGCCGAAACTTTGAACACGTTTTCCTCAAAAACCAAGGCCTATGGGGAAAAAAATAAAAAATACGTGTTTCTTAGAATTTTACGGGGCGTTTTGTAGCGGGTTTCGAAAATCGGTGGTAAGTTGAAACAGTTCCCTAGTTAGGCTGAATAACTTAAAGAGATCTAGTCTTGTCTGCTGAATATTAGTGAGCCAAAATATTGATGCTACAAGGATGTTTAAAATTTTTAGCTTTAATAGCTCTATTAAAGTTTGAAATAGGATTTGAAAGTTTAAAAGCTTACCTTTGACTTTCAAATTTCAGTTTAAAAGCTTACCTTTGACTTTCAAATTTCAATCGATGCTAAACTGAAGGAACTCCTCTAGAAAGAGGATAATTTAGCAGAAAAATGGTTAGAAAGTAATCCTGGAAATTCGTGAAAGAAACCACCGTTCAGTCAATAGATCTTGTGAGATTTCCGTTGGGATCTCTTACACACAACACTCATACAAAAAAAAAGAACAGAACAGGGATTCTTTTTGATGATTGGCATTGACGAAAAAAGTTATCTCTGGAATTTTCACGGGTTTTTACCAATATTTTCCCGGATTGATATGAGAAAAGTAATTAATAAGTGATAAATCGTGAAAATATTACTAAAGAAAACGTGATTTGAGCGATTTCAAACAAATGAAACTGAGATTTGACAAATAAACGGCAAAAATATACTCAAAATTTTGACAAATCGTTATTGAATGTGTTTCTCCCTTTTGTTCACACTCATTTTTTGCTCATGAACGATTTTTCGAGAACCGGTTTTTTTTCTTTTTCGCTTTATTCCCCAGTATGACCATGAAAATAAGCGTGAGAACAATTGAATTTGACTTTTTTTGATGTTCTGCAAATAACTTTGAATAGTTTGAGGTACAAATTAAGGCAATAAAAACAAGAAGCCGATTTATGCATTACTATGTACTCAAAATTTCTGTATCATCTTTTCTAATGCGATCGTTTCTTCTCACAGCACTAACTATAAGATTACTACCGTATTTTCTCTAATAGTAGTGCACCCCGGCGAGTTGGTGACTATTTTACGGTTTCCAAGTTATCCCAGAAGCTCAACACTCAAATCCTCCACTAGATCTCATCATCAGCTACATTTTCCGACCCCACATCGATAGGTTCTGATAAGCGGTTCTCGAGATTTCGAGCAATTTAGGCGACTCACATGGTGCGCTACTAAAATACGGTATATATTTATGCTTTACTTTATGCCCAGAAATCATCTACGCTAAACATAAGAAAACGAAAGCAATGAGAGCACCAGAAAGGATATGTTTTGTTTTCTAATATAACTCAAAGATCTATAGATCAAATATTTAATTAACTTACTAAAAAATAATGTCGCTGTTGAGTTGTCGTGTGTGTTGTGGAGTTTCGCTTTCGTTACTAAACTTTGATCTTACAATTTGCAATGAAATAATATGATAAGGTAAAACTTGGGAATCAGAGAACCAGAAAAAAAGATTTTATAAAAAGATTCAGCCTACTCGACTTTTTGAGTTTACTAGCAAAAGAAATGTAGGTTTTACCCTCAATTTTTCGCTTTTTTTGAGTCCACCCACTGCTATTTGCAGAGTCAACCCTGTCCGAACATCTATTGAGAATTGGAGAAAAGAGAAAATTCTGTCTTTTCTTTCTTTTGACCCTCAAAACTGTCTCTCCATTTACTTGTCTAATCATCAAATTTACTCAATGATACTACAGAATTCTTTTCATTTTGTGGAACTGATCGCTTAAACCACTTACGATTTAATCGATGAGATTTTAGGGAGAAGAAAAAGCTCAGGGAAAATTTAGCGAAAAGTTGTGGTCGATTTTCGAAAGTTTGCAGTTTTGAATTGTTGGCAAAGTTTTAGAATGTATACCGGGGTTACCGGTGATTCATTTTGCACACAAATACCACACAAGACCTAGGGAATATTCTATCATTTGTGAGGATGGGACGATGTAGGAGACGATGTAGAAGGAGCAGGCTACCCGCTTTATATGAGCTTGCGCAACATATTATTCTATTTATTCTAGATAAAGTAACAGATAAAAATCAAATGCAAAGCAGATTACAAAGGAAAATAACAAAAAATTCACGACAACTCTCGCAGAAATTGAATTCATTTTTATAAAGATTGAATACTCGACAATCGTTTGACAATCATTTCCATGTGAAAATCACTTCCAATCATCGGTTCTTCACAAATCCTTGCGATGATCAGCAAATTCATTTCCTTATCGAAAAAATATTTCCTTGAATTGATTTTTGAATAAAAATCGTGAAAAGCTGAAAATTGAAGTTTCATTTGGAGTTCCGCCTTGCTTGCGAACAACTTCAATTAAGTCAATGAAATCTGAGAATTGATTGACTCTTATATAGTAAAGTGATACATGAGTTCGGGATAATTTTGAGAAATTCGGGATCGTATTTTGAAAGCTATAAATATTACATATTGTAAGTGCGGCATTTTTGAGAATTTTTTCTAAATCGTTATTTTCTTGCAATAACAAAAGCAGCTCTTTATCGACAAATGGACAAAAGTAGTCGAAAAACGCAGCTCGACCAAGACCTAAGAAGTACGGATATGCGCCAGCTCTCGGACTCAGAGATCCAGTGGAAGTGATCGAGAGAAAAAGACTTAGATGGGCCAGAAGAACAGGCGACAGATGGATGATCACAGTGGCTACCACGAGGCCAGAAGCAGGTTGTGATCTGCGCAAAATAGGAACACCTAAGTGCGAAGACAGATCAAAAAAAATAGTCGAAAAAGGTATCTGGGAATTGTCTTGTGAAATTGATGAAATCAAAAACTCCACCAATTTCCAAATTCTCTACAAATTCGATCTTTGATAAGAGATTTCCAAAAGCATGAATTTCTTCAGTTGACATGGAAATATTGATTTCAATGCTTCGACAAGAACGAATCAAACCAATAAATCGAATGAAATAGTCCAATTTCTTTTCGTTATCGTTTTCAAAACGAACTCTTAACTTCTCCATTTCAACTATATCATCGTAGAAATGAATCCGGAAATTGTGATCAGAAAAATAGACTAGAAGATAACTTGTTTTTGTGTGAGAAATTTCTAGACTATTATTACTGAAATTTTTCGATTCATTCATTTTTCGATTTTTCGATTTCGATTTTTCACTACATGGCAAGTAAAGCCGATCGTTTCTTTTTGGGAGAAGTCCGTTGAAGAGAAAATAGTGATGAAAGCTTTTACTGGCTTTGAAAAGTTCAATTGCACTTGTATATGATACAAAATTTAGGATTGAGTACTTGAGCTCACTTGGCAAAGAGTTGAATTGGAAATGAAAAGAAAACATGACTTCTTTCGTTGTGCTTGGTTTTTTTTGCTCAATTTGAGCTGTGAATTTCTCATATCAGGTAGAGAAGGCACTGAATTCTTGGGTAAATAGTGTTGGTGAGTGATTTGAAAAGTTGAGAAAATGAGAAACTTGATCTGAATTTGCACAGAATGATGGCGAGAAGGATTCACGTGGAAAAAGTTGAACTATGAAAAGTCTCATTTGCTATGGCGTTTACTAAAAGACACCTAAAACTACCGTAATCCTACACCGAGTATCATTAAATCAGCCCAGTTTTTGATATGATTTGATGAGGAGTCACAAGATTCAGGTCAGATACCAAAATTAGAATAATCAAATGTATCAGACTAGGTTGCAGATAATGATTTGACAACATTCCCAAGTGAGCCAAAGCAAAGGATACCATTCCTCCCTTTCTCCATTTTTTCTAATCTTAACACATTTTCCTTGTGACTCACCATTCCGCTTTTGATACTTTACATCAAATTTATTGACTGAATATTCTAAAGTGCAGCGGCCAAGTGTAAGTGAGTACCTAAGCCTAAACCTAAAATACTGTTTTGTGTTAACTTCCAAAACATTTTTGACCAATTTCTCAATAGCTACATAAATCAGAAATCCTTACCAAGACATTATTTGCTCTGAATCGTTCTTTCAATATTTTTTCACGCTTTCTATGGCGATATTTTTTCGGCGATTAGCGTTCTTTCGCGTTATTCACCATTTTCGAAATAAAATAAGGATTAAAATGGATAATGGGAAGATCAATGATAGCATGATAAGAGAGTCAAGAGCATGAATACTTCATTTTCTTTTCCTAGTTCTAGAAACAGACATTTTCGTAACGTATGATACGTAAACATTTTTCATGAAGTTTTTTCATTTTTTACAACAAATACACTTTTTTTGTACTAATATCCCTTCTATGAAAGAACAAAAATACTTCAAAAAATCAAGACTTTTGTAAATATTTAATCCCTAGTTCATTTGTTAGGTGTAAATCGATTGTGAAATCACCATGGTCTATGGAGATGTTCGCGAGACTGGAGAAAAGGTTTTGTTAAAGGTGAACCGTCTTAACAGCAGATCTCTTTCAGCCAAGATTAATTTTTGCTAACATTCCTGTTGCAAAACTTGGGTTTGCTACTGAGACCGATCCACCGAAAACTATTTTGGAGCGGCTCCTGAATGATGTCTATGAAATCTCAGACGTGGAGTACACAGTCAATTCGATCAGCTGCAAATTTGACAAGAACACAGGACTAGCCAAAATTACGGTTGGTATTTTTTTTTCTTAAATGTTTTCGTTTTATAGACTCATTTCTCTCAACAAGTTGCAAAACGACTACTAAATACGCAGGGTTCTCGAAAATTGCTAAAGTACAACAAAGAGCATAATTTTGGAATAAAGGTAAGCAAGGTAATTTCCCAATTGCTGCCTAAATCACAAAGATTTTCACGCACCTACAATATTTTCCAGGTTTATTCCCAGCAAATGTGCGAGTTTTTCTACTACTTAGGAAGATGCCCTTTTTATAATGGGTAAGTCTACAAAGTTACTTACACACGATTCAAACTGTGTAGATGTTCATTCTCCCATGAACATGAAAAGCTTCCCCCAACGAAGAACATCACCTGCGGAATGTGTTTCCTAGAAAAGGCAAGTTTTGCGAGTTATTTAGAAATAGATTACGAAAAAAAATAAAACGTGCCAACTTTTACAAACTTTACTTTTTTTTCTATTTCAATCTATTAAAATACTTTGGATAGTATTTAGTATACCACTTTCTGAACCTTTAGGCAGAAAAAGAAAACGTTTTGAGAGAAATACGCCTTATTTAGAGTCGTTTTGGGATGTTGAGATGCCCAAACCCAGTACCGAATGAAGCAAACCCAAAGCCAGACCCAGAACCAAAATGCAAAATATGCGTTGACTGCATTATTGGGTGGCGCAAAAACCCAACCTTCGTTGGGCAAGCAGCAGAAATGGGAGAGACTACGCAGGAAATGATTAACAAATTCAAGTAAGTTAACCAGCCCGTGACATAGTCTACGTTCACCCTAAACGATAATCTGGCGCAAAGTTGACGTACTATCAATGGGCAAACTACTATTAACTAAATAATTTAGATGTTGCCCATGCTGTCGTCGTTTTTCCAAATGGGTTGTACTAACCCAGGTATGGCCAAAAGATGAAAAAGAAAAGCAGGCAGGCAAAAATTTGTTATTCATTATCATATCGCAATACAGATGCAATGCAATGCAATGCAAGCATGTAAGATGCCCAAGATATCGGGTAAGTTGTTGCTGTTTTACAAAAAAGAAACCCTTTATCATTGTTGACTTCAAAAAGGTTAACGATATGCGGGACATGTCTAAAAAGTTAGAGTTAGAGTGTCGGTACTAGACATGGAAAAATTCCAACCCGAACCTAATTCCACCTTGGTTTTCTCACCTTGGCCAATTGTTCCGAAATTTTGTTTGCAAATAGAAACTGGCTTTTCTGCCTCTAGACAAAATTTCAGAACAATCGGTAAAAAGAAGTGGAATTCGGTTTGGTTTGAAATTTTCCCATTTCTAGTTGGTACTGGTACAGGGAAACCCAGTCTTTTTATAACATTAAGTTATCTAAGAATCGACGAGAATAAGAATATCTAAGAATAAGAATGCATTTAGATCGACGAGAATGGACAGGGTACTGGTTGTCCTCGCGGTGGAAAAAACTGTCTATTCCGTCATGTACGACCTGGTGGGAAGGATGACAAAGATGATGAGCCATTTGTGCACGATGATCATGCTTCTGATGATGATGATAATCCTGATAATGATTGGGATATTTCTCGTCTAAGTAACTCATCATTTGTGGAGGAAGATGATGACGAGGAATGAAGTCCGGGCAACATTATTTGTTTGTTATTTGTTATTTCATAAAAAGTTCACATCTCTCAAAAACAAACAAAACATTTTATTCGTCAAACAATTATGCACAACACAAATATTTTGCTTAAACAAATTTCTGAAAGTTTTTGCTGTGTTTTTTAAGAAACCATGAGCTTATTTGGGGGTTATTGGGGTGCGGCTAAGACACGTTTTTGTTCTTTTCAGAGAGATCGGAGAATTTGGGGGATCAGAAAAGGAAATACTTAAGAATTTGAGGTTTGCGAAATATTTGGTAGCTGATATACAAAAATTTCTGGGGTTCTTCTAACTTTATCATCGTTTGATCACCATCTACAAGGCTACCCATCGTGCTCTCTCCTGTCGAACGGGGATCAATAAAGCGTCATTCTCGTCTGAAATTTACATATGTTAAAAGATTTATTTTCTTTTATAATTGAATCCATTCCTTTTCCTTTTCAAGTACACAGCTAACTTGGGTTGGATTCTCTCTTTCTTCCTTTCTTCCTTCTTCTTCCTTGTATTTCCTACTTCTTCTTGGTCAAAGAAAGTGCCGATAGCTCAGTGGTAGAGGATCTGTTCGATGAACAACGGGTCGAGGGTTCAATTCGCCTCAGTTGCAAATTCTTTGCCATTCATTTTTTTACTTTCTTTGGTTGTTAAGCTTAGAGACAATTTCTCTAAACAAATATTCTATACCCAATACGATTTAGTCTTGCTCACCAATTATATCATAAGTTGTTTAGCCAATTTAGGCTGAAACGAATGCCCTGGTCTATAACGTTTTAATCCTTTATATTGTAATCCAATGGCTGATGTTTTACATTAGGTTTTTTATTTGTTAAACGTTAAACTTATTGTTAAATTCCTTCTTACAGCAACTTGCGGTAGTTTCAAGAGTCTAAAGTCGAACATAAACGTACAAACGAAAATTTTACGTTTGTGGCTATAAAATCAAATCAAATCAAATCGTGTCTTGTACGAATTCGAAGTGTCGAAGCAACGAAGACGGGCCATTGTAGGTTTATGTGTGGAATTTTCAAGTGGAAAAGCTGCCTCAGAAATTTAACTTTTTTCTTTTTCTTTTCTCTGATGATCACTTTGACGGGATCCGCCTCAATTTGGATGACCCTCTTCTAAACATCGATGACTTTCTTCTAAACATACATCTCTACGGTGAAAAATGACTCCTTTTGCAAAATTCGATCAGTCGTATATTTCTGTATTTTTGATTTGTTTAGCGAGTGCAATCAGCTTTACGAACATCACACGCCGATTCAGCCGTTTTATGTGACTTCGATCGCTTGCATCATATCAAAGCTGAAACCGGTCAAATTGTAAAATACTCTTAGTGTTGCATCTAACAGAGATGTTCAAAAAACCGGCAAGGTAAGGCCAGATGCTAATGCCGGCCTCGTTTATACCCTGCCTTTAATTGACTTGACCTGTCAACAAAAAGCATTTAACCCAGTCAGAACCTAAGCTTTGTCCTGGATCTGATTAATAGCCTAGTTTACCTTGACCTGACCTGAATCACAAACCCAGGACAGAGTTGGAATACCCTTGTTTAGGATAATTAAATAGAACTGCCGTAGACGCTATCGTAGTCAAATAAAACTAAAACTTTAGCCGTCTTCTAAACATCGATACATCTCTACTGTGAAAAATGACTCCTTTTGCAAAATTCGATCAGCCGTATATTTCTGTATTTCTGTATCCCTGTAACTCGTAGTTTTGTCGGTTTTTTGATTCACTATCGTTGAATTAATCAAGAAGCAATACAATTGGCAAAACTATTGGCAATAATCAATTAAGATTTGTCTCTAGATAATTGCAAAAACAGAGCCCATTAGAGGCGAATGCAATCGTTTTTGAGCGAAATCTCCATGATCACAAACTGTAATTTTGAAAATTAATAATGAACGGTCCCATGGTGCTTCATTTTTTGCCATTTTCCAAAAAAACACATTTTTAGATTCTTGAAATCTTTTAAAATTACTGGTTCGCCCGTTTTTGTGTGCTAATGAGCAAATTTACTAATGAGGGGTTGATGTAAAACATTGGCTTTTTGTGTCCTCAAAATCTTCTCTAAAGCTTTCAAATTTTCATCAACGGGAAGAGATTTTCATACTTTATCTCTTTCAGTTATGCACGAAATGAAACGAGAAGGTTTCGCCTTTTTTCGGCTTCAAGAACACCATATTGCTCTTGTTAGTACGGTGCTTTTTTGGGGTGAGTTTTGTGAAGCAAAATGGGTCATTGTTTTTGCATTTTTATGGTTTTCATAAGATTTCTAAGGATGAGCAAATTGAAAATGTTTTTGATTGACAGACTGGTTCAGAGATTTTCCAACCAGACCCTAGAGTTGTAAGTCAAGTCAGCCCGGGGATAGCTTCTGAACTTTGACGGATATGGCTTTGCTACGGATCTCGTCTGGCTTTACTGCAGGCTTGGCCTACAAAAGTTTGATTTTCCAGAAGCCAGACTAGGTTCTGGTTATTGATTTGGTGATTTGGGCCGTACTAATGACGAATATTTTTCGTGTCAACTCAAGTTTTTAAAGATTTTCGTTATTTATTTCGCAAAAAGTTCTCGGTAACTTGGTACTAGTTTCCAAGGGGAGATTCAGGGCTATCGAACGACTATAATAACGGGTGAAACAGCAAAACCGAGACTCTGTTTATAATTCAATTTATCGAAGATTTTATTTAATTCAAAAAAGCCCAAAAAAGTCATTTGAAAGAAGAAGAAAAATGCAACAAAATGAAATAGTTATTTTCTATCACGCCATTTCTTCTGATTTCATCAATCTTCTTCTTAGATTCTTAGATGATTCTTATCTCCGCAAGACGCTGTACAAGACTTGGGTCCATTTTCCGCAGACAATACTCTGTAAAGAAATATTGTTTGCGTGCTTGGTACTCTTCACTCAAGACACGTTATTTCTTGTTCCGAGATATCTGATCTCACTTGAACTAAAAACACTTTATTCAATAGCCGACTGACTCGGAATCCTTGGGCTCTCACTTGAGCAATTTTCACACAAGATCGACAATTGAATTAAAAGCGACGATAAAAAACAGAAACAATTTCGTCCTAATTAGGACACAACTTTCACACAATGAGAGAAAAGCAGAAAGATAAAAAACCAAAAACAAATGAACAACAGTTGCCTTATATAGGCTTTAACACAAGATACTCAGCTAACAAGCTACAAAACAATAAATGATTTGGGGCGCGAAATAGAATAAAGGCGCACCGATTTCCTCAATACTTTTCCAATTTTTAGGCTGTCAGAGTTAGATAACTTTTAGTGGCTATTCGCCACATACTCAATCCGGTTCGATAGTTGCTGCGTGGTTTCTGCTTTCCAGGCGTTGGCATAAACTCCTCCTTTCAAAATTAGCCAAAAATTGTTAATTGATTTAGTTTTGATTCTGATTTCTGGCCAGTTCTGATCAGCAGGTGATCGCCGGGCTATCTTCCTTAGCCACGTAATTTACGCTCTCCTGATCCAAGTGCTGCATCACAACTTTTGCTTCAGAGCTAACTTTATCCGACCAAAACACATAGTTGGCGTTGTAGTTGGCTCGGATATAAGGAATCAAACGCTTCTTGATGCTTCCCTCTAGGTAAACGACATTGTTGATTGCAAAGTTGGACTCCTTGATAAGCGACTTCAACCAATCGTTTGGTTCAATTGCTAGCCATACCAAAACCTTCTCAAACTTAGTTTTTCTAAAATTTTGCATTGGAGGGTGTATTCTTGATGTCCGAGGTGTAGAAGATGTTGTTTCCATTGACGGAAGAATGAGAAAGAGTGAAATATGATTCGTCATCAAGGATCCAAGCAGCCTTAGAGAATTTTCGATACAGTCGTCCACACAACTTCTTGGCATCCGCTTGTTTCTTGCGAGCTTTTATTTCCAACTTCTTCAAGGCTCTATGGATAATCGGCTGGCTGCATTTGAACCGTTTAGCTGCTCGGCGTTGTGGGATTTCGTCTTTGTAATCCATTGCTTTTCTTAGGTCAGCTTTTTTGCGTGTAGTCATCTTTCTGTTGGAGCCACCGGATCCTGCCTGACGAACTGCAGGCAAATTAACTTCGGAACGGTTGAGAATGCAATAAACAGTTGCTTTGGGCATCCCTTTGGCTTGAAAATGGCGCACGGTGAAAGGTTTTTCCGTATTGATGATCGCAGAGTAGAAGCTGTACACTCTCTCTTGCTCTCTTCTTTGAAGTCTCTTGCTTTGAAGCCATTTCTACATTTTTAGTTTATTGCAGAAAAAAAGGAAGAGAAGAAAAGCGCTACAAAATTGCATGTTTACAATTTGATAGAATGCTAATACAATGATTTTCCGGTGCGTGTAACAATGATTTTCAGCGAGTCTCATTTTTGCCGTATCACCCGTTAATTTAGTTTAACTTTGAATTTTCACCAAGTAAGTATCAGTAAAGCAATCAGTAAAGCAATCAATAAAACAATCAGTAAAGCAATCAGTAAAGCACAAATCAGTAAAGCAATCAGTAAAGCAATCAGTAAAGCACAAATCAGTAAAGCAATCAGCAAAGCAGTCAGTAAAGCAATCAGTAAAGCAATCAATCAGTAAAGCAATCAGCAAAGCAGTCAGTAAAGCAATCAGTAAAGCAATCAATAAAACAATCAGTAAAGCAATCAGTAAAGCACAAATCAATAAAGCAGTCAAGAATGTACGCTCAAAATGTCACGAATGTGTTAAAAGCTTAATAATTAAAATCTACCGGGTTATAGTCATCTGTTGTTCTGAAGTTTAAACGAACGGTTGTTCATAATTCCCTGAAAATTCCATGCTAATAAAAAGAAATAAAATCAATCAATCTTTAGCCATTGCTGTTACTCTACAATTTTTGTTGGCAGGAGCGGAAAACCCCTTGATGTTTACAGTTAGCCCTTATCCGCCAGTGCCAGTCATGGAAGTCTATCGAGGGATCGTAATTGGCGTTGGTTAAAATTATCATCTTCCTTTACTGACTTTGGTTTATTAAATTTTCAACCTTTAGCTATCCGTTTGCTCCGTTTTGAGCAATTTCTGTGCATTTGCCATCATAGCTGTCAATCGTATATTCACTTTGCCGATTCGACTCTTTTTGCTCGCGGATTCTTTGGGAAAACTGGTGTTTTCGATGTACGCTGCAGGGATCTTTTACTGCACCTCGTAGTTGGTTTTCGAATAAATAAACGAAAATTAGGAGTAGTGATCAAAAATTTGGTACATTCAGGTACAAATCAAGAACCCAAACTAATAGATTCTTTGCACAGCTCAAGTCCTGGAATCATCTACTGGAATCATGTTTTGAAACTAGAGTCGACGCTCGATAGTAAATCACTTTTTAAAACTCCCGACAAATCGCTTAAGATCAAGCGTTAAGTACACATGTTTACCATTAAAGGGATTCTCCAAAAGTGATTTACTATCGAGTGATTTACTATCGAGCTTTTGCCCTTTTGTCCGTTTAGCGGTTTTCTTTATGTGTTCATTTTTCAATATTTTTAAAAAGACCAGTTTTCGGTCTCGCAGATTATTCTAAAGTATTCAAAATTGTTTTAAAATGACAAAAAGTAAATGATAAACATTTATAATAAAGGAAGCCGTTTGGTACTTGGTAGTTTGATAATGATTTAAATAATGAAATGAAGGTAGTACTCAACCTAATCGAACCCACCCAGTTTTATCAGTACATGTCGTAGTTGTCGTTGTTGGTGCCTTCGTGGTAGTGGGTGCTGGCCAAATCTGATCACTACACATCTTACAAGAGACTGGGCAGTTCTCTTTCTTCTGCGTTGCATCGTACGTCGGTCCATCGCAATAGTTGTAATCAGCAATCCATTGGGCACAACTGGAAATTATCCACCCACCATGTCGTTTCAGCAATGGTATTACTCACAATGATTTATCAACACATGCTGCCTTCTGCGTCGTAATTGTCGGTTTTGATGTGGCTGTTGACGGATTTGTCGGCGAGTCATAAGTGGCACTAGCATACGGCATTTGGCTTGTCGTAACGGTAGAAGTGGTTGATGCGGATACTGTAAGCACACAGTTAATTTATCTAAAAAAACCAAGGTAGTACTCAACCTAATCGAACCCACCCAGTTTTATCAGTACATGTCGTAGTTGTCGTTGTTTTCTTTATGTGTTCATTTTTCAATATTTTTAAAAATACCAGTTTTCGGTCTCGCAGATTATTCTAAAATACTCAAAATTGTTTTAAAATGACAAAAAAAAATCAACGATGAGCTATTATAATGAAAGAAATTGTTTGGTATTTGGTAGTTTGAGACTCATTTATTTAGATAATGAAATGAAGGGGTAACGGCTTAGTCCTCAACCTAATAACACATTGTTTACGTTCTCGCCATGTTGAAACAGAAAATCTCATCCGATCTGCCAAGTTAAACAACATTGTGTTAGTCGCAGGTTCGGAGTTAGGACCTGGGTATTTCCCTTTCTTTCTTCTTCTTTGTCTTTCCGATTTCTTCTTGGGCAAAAAAGGCGCCGATAGCTCAGTGGTAGAGCGTTTGCCCGGTAAGCAAAAAGTCGAGGATTCAATTCCCTTTCGGTTCCTAGTTCTTTCCCATTCATTTCTTTACTTTATTATCCCAAGCACAGAGCAATGTAATGGTACCGTGCCCGTTGAAATTAGACTACGAATTGGCTTGCGCATAAACTGCAGTCATTAAAAAATGGTTAATTCCTTTCATTGACCAGCTATTCAGTCTAGATTAGGGTATTCAGTCTAGATTAAGGTATTCAGTTAAGATTAGCTGGATTACGGTATTCAGTCTAGATTAGGGTATTCAGTCTAGCTGAAGGTATTCAGTTAAGATCACTTCACAAAATGGTGATCTTTGACTTTCAAGTGTTATGTTTAAGTTAAGAATTAGAAGTCCTGTTATGGTATTTGGTAGTTTAGGATAGGGTTTCAATGGGATTTGTTTCTGTATTGTGATTGATTGCTTGGATTGGTTGAATAAACCAATCTATACTTTGATCAATCCAAAATGCTATTAATGAACGTTCAATTGAGCAAGCAGAACTGCTGTGGTGCAGAACGATCGCATACTTTTGCAGCAAGCTTGACACACAAATTTTAGCACTCAAAATTTTCCGTGCAGCTCGTCGTTTGCCTTCTTTCTACTCGCATTAGGAAACTACATGGAACCAGCCATCAATATCTCGTTGTTCTGCCAACTTGGTGAGTAATCATATCATCCCCATCTTATGGCTCTTTATGAATTGAATGGAATCAAAGTTATTATTTATTCAGGCATGTCAATGAATCGTTACTTCGCGATTTGCTATGATGGGAAATACTTCCACAGAACGATCAAGCTTTCTTATCTTCAACTAGTTGTTGCATTGCTGGCACCCTATGCTTTCTACCATGGTATCGTTTGGTTGACAGGTTTGTTTTCTGATTTTCCTTTCTTTGATAAAATTTACAGCGGTCGCAAATTATTTTTGAGTTTTTGTTTTTGAGCAAACAGTTTTTGAGCTATATCTTGACTGTAGTTTGGCGAACCGGTTTAATTTCTTTTTAATAGGAAAATTGTGAAAATTTCTATGGAGAGTTTCTTTATACAAATTGTGGGATGCTTTTGAGAGTTTTATTAAAAGCTTGAAAGATGCGCTTGTTTTAAGCCTTTCTATTATTTAAGCTCTTTCTAGTTCATTTTCAAACTGAAATCGGTTTTCTCGATTTTTTTGATAAATTCAAGCTTTAAGAGTAACATTTGGTTAATTCTTTGCAGCAGCAACGATTGGGGCATTCGCTGAAATATTGGGTTCAGTCATTGACTATTCTAAAACTCTGGCGCAGCAATTGCTTACTTTTTGCACAAGGCAGTTTGCAGTTTGTAGGCATATTTGTTAGTTGTGTTTGTATAAAGAAACTTTCCATAGAAAATTTTGGATTTGAGTACGCTAGAAATGGTGCGAAATTGTGGGATGCTTTTGAGATTTTTATTAAAAGCTTGGAAGATGCGCCCCACACAACCTTTCTATTATTCAAGTTCTTTCTAGTTCATTTTCCAAGCCTTTAATAGAACTCTCAAAAGCATCCCACAATTTGTATTTGTATAAAGGAACTTTCGATAGAAAATTATCACAATTTTCATATTATTAGGTTGTCCAATAAGTAATGCGTGTTACTTATTTCGAAACTATTGCGAAATCGCTTCGAGCAAATATATGCTCTTTTTAATCATCAGCATCTTGTTTTTATTTTTATATATTATTTTATTCATTTGCCTTTGTTTTATAATAGATATGTTGTTTTGCAGATGCAGATGAAAGACAAAAAGTTTGTTGTCCGCGCATTAATGCTGTATGATTTCAAACGAGGTAAAACTGCAGCGGATTGCCATCGAACTATCTGTGCCGCATTTGGAGAGGATTCAATTTCAATCAGCCAGTGCCAGCGCTGGTTTAAACGATTTGCGGACGGAAACGAGTCGTTAGAGGACGAGGAACGCGCTGGAAGGCCAGTCGTTTTTGATAACGAAGCTTTGCTTAACACCATTGAGTCTGATCCAACTCAAACTACTCGTGAGTTGGCCGAATTATTTGGTTGTTCCAAATCAACAATCGACAATCATCTCCATGAGATTGGAAAATTTAATTGATGCGGAAAGTGGCTTCCCCACAAATTGAGTGAAGCGAACAAACCTGCTTGAGATTGAGATTGAGAAGATTGAGAAGCTTGGATGGTCGACTGTCCCACATCCGCCGTATAGTCCAGACCTGGCTCCATCTGATTTCCATTTGTTCCGTTCGATGGCGCACGCTCTTGGAGAACACAAGTTCAAAAGTGTTGACGAGGTGCAAAAATGGCTCGACGATTTCTTCTCATCGAAACCAGCTTCATTCTATTATGACGGACTTCACTCTTTGCTCGGACGATGGAGAAATGTTGTTGATTGTTGTGGAGAATATATCGATTAATAAAGTTCTCTTTTGTTAATTTTGTGATATTTTGAAAATCGTGTCAAAACACGCATTACTTATTGGACAACCTAATAAAAAGGAATTAAACCGGGTTTGCGAAACTACAGTCAAGATATAGCTCAAAAACTGTGAGGCGATAATTTGCGGTGACCCTGTAGAAATGCACCATTATACTCAAATCTTACCGTGCTCAAATCCAAAATTTTCAGCAAAACTTCAAGCTGCCTTACTTGTGCAAAAAGTAAGCAATTGCTGAATAAGATAGAGTTCTAGTTCTAGAATGAAGTTCTAGAATAGTCAATGACTGAACCCAATATTTCAGCGCTTGCCCCAATCGTTGCTGCTTACGTAGAAATATTTCTCATCACCCTCTTCATCTCCATATTGGTTTCGCTTGATTGGATCACTTTTTACAAACATCACGTAGGTAAAAGAGTACTGTAAGTAATCAAATTAGCATTTAATACAGTTCAATAAAGCAATTTATTAGTTGGACTTTACAAGTAACCCAACTTTTAGGGTCGACAAAGCAAAACGCGTAAGCAAGCCGAGAGGCGACTGGCAATTCAGGTATCAGACTTGAAAGATCCGACCTCTGATTAGCATTTTAGATGGTTGGAAACAATTTCCAATTTGTTCTCCATTATTACTTTGTTATCTTCGCAATGGTTTTGATCGTTCCACTAAATTGGACTGTTTTCCAATTCCTAAATATGGTCGACAAATTGATCATGAACGCGTTGGCACAGTTTTGGGGAGGGTTCGTTTGTTTCCGTCTTTTTAAACGATCCTTTAGATTACTGACAACAGTTTGCCTTTGCCGTGGTCGTGGAAACAAAGTACAACAAATCAAATCGACCGTCTCCACAATTCTTGTCGAGTCGAGAAAATCTCATACTCAGATTTCTCGAAATGACTCAAAAACTAGGTCAATCCACACAAAAATTTCATAATCGATTAGCCTTATTAATTTTTGTTTAATAAATTTTGTTTATATTATGCTGAAGAAATTTCGAGCGCTATATTATGCTGAAGAAAACCGCCAGAAATTTCAGGCTCATTTCAATGCAGTCTTAAACATTGAATGTTTACGAAAAGCTTAGAATGCATTAAGAAGTGTTTACGAAACGTCAATTTACTCTTTACAGGGTGACAAAATATTAAGGACTGGCTTTAGCCGAGGAAAAATGAAGCTTGATCAATCTTTTGCATTTATCGCGTAAGCACAAAAAGGTTTTGCAAGATTTTATGTTCGTTTTTGCCTGTATCTTTTCCTTTCTTACGAATCATTGTTTCATTTTCCTTTATCTTTTTGACAAGCAGGTTTTAAAGGTGAAAGTGGATCTAGACAACGACGTAAAAATATGTTTTTAACCTTTTGATACAGTCGTGAAACAAAAGTCTTGTCCGGTCAGTGTTCACTTGGTCCATAGATCACATCACAAGCTGAGCAGACTCGACTTTAGGCTTTTGATTTCGAAATATCTTTAAAGGTTATTGGAGCTCTGGCTTTAAAGTTTTAAAGTTTTTAACCTTTTCTCCCCCCTTTAACCCCTTTTCTCCCCCCTTTAACCTTACAGTCGTGAAACAAAAGTCTAGTCCGGTCACATCCAAATATATTGACCACAAATAGTTTTATATAGCATTTTCAAAGGTTGTTAAAATGAACCATTTAGCTTTTCGATATCCTTTGAACTAAGAGTTTTATGATCGAAAAGCCGTATTTAAACATGATTTTGAAAAATCTTTTCAAGAATGAATGGATCCCATTGAAAACGGCTCCAATTATAATGGCATTGATCCAATCCGTCTATTACTTATTTATTCATTTTATTCTGGTGAAAATGAAAGGCTACTGGCACTTTTGAAGCCTTGAACAAAATCTGAGAAATCTGAGAAAAAGAACCTTATCCTCTTATACAAAAGTAGCTTGAGAAAATCTATTTAGAGCGACATCAAAAATCTAAGAATATCATCTTAAAGCTCTCACAAAATACTACAAAAAACTAATTGGGATCGATTTATTTGAATGCGAACTAACGGGAGAAAAATGAGGAAACATTGGCCGACCAAGACTTTTTTAACGATTGTAGGTAAAATATTATTGTATATGTCGTAGCCGTTTACGAAATTCAGCCGCTAACGAATGAGGGTATTTCCGGGCATCCAATCAAAAAGTCACCCACATAAAAAATGTTCATAATACATATATTTTATAATAAATTTTTGAAATTAGCCCATTTGGTTCAGTAGAAAATTTTTTTGAGCCCCCCAAGTTTAGGTTCAAAAATGCCCTGAAATGGCTATAAAAAATTTTCGACTCAGCCAAAAAACTTGCCTAATAGCTTATTTTGTAGCCAATTTGATGTAGTTTCTTAAAGTAAAGCCATCTAAAACAATTTTTCGTTGAAAGTAGGAGAAAGGGGGCGAGGAACAAATTCAGGACAATTCTCAAATGTGAAAACAGCGACCGAGTTCAACTGAAGTCGTTCCTCGCCTTCTTTCTCCTAGTTTTGAAAAATAAATGTTCAATGTAGCTTTACTTTAAGAAACTACATCAAATTGGCTACAAAATAAGCTATTAGGCAAGTTTTTTGGCTGAGTCGAAAATTTTTTATAGCCATTTCAGGGCATTTTTGAACCTAAACTTTGGGGGCTCCAAAAAATTTTCTACTGAACCAAATGGGCTAATTTCAAAAATTTATTATAAAATATATGTATTATGAACATTTTTTCTGTGGGTGACTTTTTGATTGGATGCCCGGAAATACCCTCATTCGTTAGCGGCCGAATTTCGTAAACGGCTACGACTTATATAGAAGTGTTCTATATCCAGCTTTCCTCTGTGAATAGTTTTCTTGTGTCATTCGCTGATAAAATATATTTATTAGCAATTTATTCTCACAAAGACTTTTTGAGAAGTTGGCAAGCTTGTTAATGGGATTGTTGAAGCGAAAATGGTTGTGGTCGGGGTTTCTTGTTGTTCTATTGAGATTTGGCTGCGTGAGCTCAGGTTTCGAAGGCGGAGACACGAGTTGCGCTGGATAAACAATGGCAATTCGCTTAGTATCTAAAATGATGAGGTTTAGTAAGGTTCAAATAGGCATTTGGCAATGAAAATCTAACTCAAATATTGTCAAACGTGTTAGTAAACTTGCAAAAGCTGAGCAGACTCGACTTTAAGCTTTTGATTTTGAAATTTGAAAAATCTTTAAAGGTTTTTGGAGCTCTGGCTTCAAAGTTTTAAACTAATGACCATTTGGCTGACTATTTAGAAGTTGGCAAGCTTGTTGATGTGAAAATGGTTGTGGTCGGAGTTGATTTCTTGTTGTTTTTGTTTTGGAGCTCTGGCTTCAACGTTTTAAACTAATGACTATTTAGCTTCAATTAATAATCAAAACTTTTAAAATCCGTGCAAGTTTGACCCACCATCGGAAAGCAAAACAAAATCGCGATGGTGATCAAAATCCCGTAGCCGACCGTTTGAAATTTGAGAGTCAAAAAGTAAAGACTCATATTCATCGGTGGAAGTTGTAAAGATGGGAAAAAGTTCATTAAGTACCAGTACGCGGAAAAGCCAATCGAAATGTGTTTTGCTAGAAAAAATTAGTAACTTTTGAGTCGGCACAACTTACGAAACAAGCTAACGATCTGCGTGACGACAATCTTCTTGGTCGTCAGCGTCCACAAGTTACTTTTGCTCAACCCGCCAGAGATGCTTAATCTGCAAAACATGAAATAATCTTTGGCGCCAGATATCTTGCGATAGAGAGTCGTTCCGGAAAAGTTTCAGATTCAGAAAACAGATTCAGAATCTCCATTCAAAACGCTTTCGAACACACTAGATCCCATTCAAAAATATCGCCTTAAAAAGGCATCATTTCCTAGGGGAAAGCTCAATTTGCAAAAATTGTTTAACCCTGGTTGTTGTTTGAGTTTATTTTATCAATTCTCCCACCTCCACAGAACAAATGTCATTGCGAGATAGCAAAGTGAAATACTGATTACTAGCGTCCCTCTCAGGTAAACAGCAAAGATTGTGTAGAGGAGATTCGGGGTGGCTGCTTTGAAAGCCAAAGAAGTACCGTTAACCTAAAGTTTTCCAATTTTCCAATTTTCCAATTTTCCAGTTTTCCAGTTTTCCAGTTTTCCTTTTGTACAAAGATTTTCCTAAATTACAAATCCCAAATCTTTCGTGCCAGCCATAAATAAGAGATGCTAGCAAAAGCGCTAAATGATTTGCACCCAAATTTTTTGCGCCACGTATCATTTGCGCCAAATTTGCGCTTTTCAACACACTTTTCTACCAACTCTGATTGGCCATTTATATATATATTTTTTTCAGTTTTTCCTCGTCGACGATGCTCGCTATTTTGCCACCTTCACCAGATCCCAAAATGGCACAAGATCGATTTAGAGAGAAAAAAGGCCAATCGGAAACACAAAAATGGCTATTTTGAGAGATAAGGAACCAAATTTAGAGAGATAAGGAGCCAAATTTAGAGAGATAAGGAACCAAATTTAGAGAAATAAGGAACCAAATTTAGAGAGATAAGGAACCAAATTTAGAGAGATAAGGAAATGACTATTTTTGAGGTCTGTATAGGTATTTAAACGTGTTTTCTAATTGAAAACAGTGAGAACTAAAATTGTGAATCAGAAAACTGAAAAGCAAAGTTGGCTAGAAGTTGGGAAAAAGTGATTTGTAATAATGATTTTCATCATGTGCAAATGAAATTGGCGCAAAAGACGCGACACTTTTGCTAGCACCTCGTAAATAAAGCGCTTGTCGAAATTTTTTATTGTTAAATAATATTCACACTCTTTGTGCTATTAGGAATTCCCTACTATCCACAGATCCGGAACAGGCACCCTAGAGTGAGTGGATGAACGAATTAACGTCTGTAATGTAACGACGAATGTAATGAATGTCGAGCTAAGTCAAAAATAAATCAAATACGTACAACTCCGTATTGATTGTATGCGACAATGTCGACGAAAACGACCACGTGCAGCGTGAAAAACAATCCGAATGCCCAAATCGATGCCGAGACGATGCGAGTGTTTTTTCGGGTCCAAAACTGGAAAAATCCTTTGTTTTGATCCCAATCATAAAGCCATTAGCAAAATTTTGTTTCCTGAGTCATCTAGAGTTCTTAGAGGAATTGGCGGTATCGAGCCGCACGAAAGGTCTGTGATGCCCTTAAGTGTTCGGGGCTGCACGCTTGCTACACTGGAGTCTGCAACGTGTTCCATGGTCGAAGGGTCACTGGCAAACCTTTGAAAAGATTCCGTGATCGGGATAGGGAATTGCAATTATTTCCCTTGAACGAGAAATTCCTAGTAAGTGTGAGTCATCATCTCGCTCCTAATACGTCCCTGCGATTTGTACACACCGCCCGTCGCTACCTAGTAACTGTCTGAGTTAACTGATCTATGTTTTAATGCTAAATATTCTTTAAGGTTTTTTTATATATCACTTCCTTCAATACTGAACTCGATGGTGGCAATTATTTGCTTGTGAGCCCAATTTCGAACAAAAGTATGCAAAATATATAGATACGTATTTTAGGTACGTATTTTTTAAAATCCTTCTTGGTCTCTGGGGACATAAAGATCTCTTTTTGCTCTGAAGATCTTTTGTACTTCATAAAACCATAAAACTAATCACTTGAAAATAAACTCAAGCGATCAAAAGTCAAAAACAATCGAAAGTCAAAAGCAATCATCGTGGGCGGTATGATCATTTTGAGTAAAGCTTTTTTTGAAATGTGTCAACTTTGACGACTTGTCGTAATTTTGCCTTACAATTAGTTTTACTCAATTTATCTATGTACGGTCTGATTCAGTGAGGGTTGAAGATTGAATGAATATCTGAGACAAGATTACGGTCGCTTTTTTGAAAAGTAACACGGTTTAGAAAAAGCATTTTCTGACGAAAAATGAAGCACCCTGTAGCAACTTACTATTTTATATGATAATGGTTTCCAAACACCCCAAAAACGTGACACCGCGATCACCGATTGAAACCAAAGCACAACGGTTGACCAAACTGTAAAAGATAAGAAAGTGTCGTGCTGTTAGTAAATTCGGGTTAAAAATGTTAGAACTTGCGATTCATGCTAATCGGAATAAAAGTATTCAGTCAAGTCAAAGTTATT